TGCAACACGGACAAGGGTTGCAGGCTTAGTTCCTCACCCTCTTCCTGGGAGTCCTTATGACTGGGACCCACAACCTGTTGTTGGGACGTGTCTTTTGTACTCTTTAGGGCTATCAGCTGCAGCAGAGTGGCCTTTGCTGGCCCTTGCTGGCTTCAGCTTCCATTAACCTTCACCCACAAGCCTCCTGCCCATTGTCTGCTTTTCCTCCTTTGGGGGAAAGCTGTGTTGGTTGCCCGTTTTCCTGGGAGGCTAGCAGAAGAATGGGATGTGGGGGGTGTTGCCACCCTGCTGTTAGATGCAGGTGTTCTGCTGACATGTTATCTGTGCTTTAGGCTGTTCAGAGCATGGGCCAGAAACTGCACCTTGCTCAGCATTACTGCTGGGGACGGTGTCCCAGGAGCAGTGTCTGGAGGATGGTGCCCTTCAGTGTCGATGCGGGCTGCTTTTGTAGCCCTCATTCTCCTCTTTCATCTGCTACTTTCACGTCTGCACTTGGACACGTTTCCACACATAGTATATTCTTACCAATCTTAGTATTTCTGTTACACACCTGCAGTCATTGTCAACCCTTTCCCTATTGACATCCTCCAGGGCTATAATTTCTGCGGGTTTTCTTACCCAGGAATGCTGTGCGTGAGCTCAGCATCTGGGCTTTGGTCAGGCTGGGAAAGGAGGGCACTTGTCCTTAGTGCCCACAAGGCCCTGCAGTGACAGCTGAGTGGGAACCCAGCAGGGACAGGGTGGGACAGGCTAAGACTCTGTTGCCTCTCTTCCCATCCCAAGCCTCTGTGCATGAACTCTTTGTTTTTCCTCAACCTTTTCCAGGGTGAGAAGAGCAAGGGAGAGGTCTCTCGCCTTACTGGCAAGATGGGCTGTGAACCCGCTGAGCACGAGGCTGGTCACGGTGCTGGCCCTGGCACCGTCCAGCTGCCAAGCCAGCGTCTTGCAGAGGCTGAGTGGCTACGAGGAGCAGAGGCGGCCACAAGGCTGGAGCAGCACCAGCAGCATGCCGCGTGCTGGATGGAGACGGAGCTGCTCCGACAGCAGCTCAAGGCCTCGCAGGAGAAGGTGGGTGTCACTCAGCCGGTGGCAGGCAGCTGCCAAGTTGTCCCTGTGATGTTGGTATTGCCCTGCTCAGGACTGTATGGGACACTCCCCCTTGCAGAAAAGACTGTCCTCTTCCTCTCTGTGGGGGCAAAGGACTTGCCGTCCCCCTCAGATATGTTTGAAGCTGGTTCAGGTGCAGCTTGGGACAGGTCCTTGCTTGCAGCTGCCCCTGCAGTGTCCCCTCTGTCTTTGTCCTGTGCAGGCTGGCTGGGCAGAGGAGCTGGAGGCTGAGTGGAGGTGGCTCATGCAGGAGTGCCGGGAACTGTGGTTCCCCACGGTTCAGCTGACGGAGGAGCTGGAGGAGTGGTGGGATCAGGTTGGGGCTGCTCAGGGATGACAGGGGCTAGGCAGGCCATGTCTCAGGGGAGGGAAATGAGGTGATCAGAGCAGGGGGACAAGGACCATGAGGGTAGAGGAAAGCCAGTGTGAGAAACGCCCGGATGTGTTAATATCCCTCCCCTGCCTTGTACTCTGGGGACAGGCTCAGGGACTGGCTTTCCAGACTACAGCTTGCTCGTGACAGCCACCTCTATGTAGCTCTGGGGCAAAGCTGGACCAGACCTGCTTCCCAGTACCAGGTTTGCCTTTGCTGGTGGCAGGAAGCAGAGGACATGCAGTACTGGCAGGGATTGAAGCCCAGCGTGCCTGGCATGTATATAAGAACAAACCCAGGGGAACAGTCACCGCTCCCTCCTGCCCTTGCGACCACTGGTGCTAGGACTCCCTTCCAGAGGATCCCTCCAGCAACTCTGGCTCCTTGTTACTCATCAAGGGGAGCATCTCTTAGCATGGGGTCCCTGTTTCTCCTCCTGCACCTCTCAGTGCTCTCCATCCCTGGCTTTATAGGCCACCCAGCAAGCACCACTCCCATGGTCCTTCTGCTCTGCTGTGGCCATGCTGGTGTGAGAGCTGAGGCGGGGGCTGAAGGTGCTTCCTAACCCCTCCCCTCACCTGCAGCATGCCCTGGACCTGTCCTATTGCTGGCACCATGCTGTAACCAGCTATCGGCCTTTCTGTTACAGCTCTCAGAAGCCAAAGAGAGCCTGAGCCTGGCCCAGACTTGGCACGCTCTGCAGTTGCAGCAGGCCAAGGCCCAGATGAACAACATGGTGCCGAAGACACAGTTTGAGCAGCTGCAAAACAGCTTGAGAGGGGAACAGCGCAAGGCTCAGCAGCTCCAGGAAAACCTCCACCGGCAGGCTGAGCAGACATGCAGGCAGTTGGTCAGGACCCAGGTAAGCAGGGAATTGCAGGAACGCTGTCAAGGGTACTGGGGAGGGAGCACTGCAGCCTGGAAGGCAGCTGTGACTGAAGCCACCAGAGGTTTGGGTGGAATCCAAGGAGGTTTGGAGAGGTTTTGCTGTATATCAAGACCCCACGTGGAAAATGCACATTATCTTAAAATTCAGCTGCAATTTTGATTCCTCATGAACCCGTTTGCTGCCTGGCACTCAAACAGGACTCCTCCCCACTCTAATCCACCTACGCCAGACGAGATAGGCGCTGCTCCTCTAGGCAAAAGGTATCCAGGGACACACTCAGTGTTGACTCAGGCTGGGGAAAGAAAGTTTGAGCCCTCTAAGTGGAGATGCATCCTGCACAGAGCGGGATGGTTTTATCTCTGGGGAACTAGGTAACAAGGTATTGGACTTCTGTGAGTTTGTCCTTTGTTTCAGGACACAGTGATTCAGTTGAACTAACCTGGGCAAAGATGGAGTAAATTACAACCTAAGGAATTAAAATGAGCAGACACAAAAACTGCCTCCAAGGAAACTGTCTCTCCCTGGGCTTTTCTGGACATGGCTGGGAGAGGGGAGGCTGTTGGCTTGATTTTGTAGAAAACGTCGCTGGGAAGTCTGTGCCCTGTCTTAAAACCAGTTGGTGCTGACCTAAGGAAGGTTGTACTGCCCTAGACACTTCTCCCACTGCACCACCTCTGCCCACCCCCCCACGCTGTCCTTCAGGGAGCAGGAAGGTCTGTGAGCAGGGCCCTGGGGTAATGCATGGTCCAGGATTGCCAGGGGCCAGGGGGGTGCTGGGATAGCCCAACCTTAGGCTCCTTAGGCTTTTTTGCCCGCTGCAGGAGGAACACAAGCGTCTGCTGCAGGCAGCTGTGGAGCAGGCAGAGGAGCTGGAGCAGAGTCTGAGGAGTGCTGAAACTGTGCTGGCAGAGAGGGCAGCTCAGCTCCAGGATGCCCAGGTGAGTGCAAGAGGGGTGAGTGCTGCACGTCTCTGCCTGGCTGGGACCCCTCTGGAGGGATGCCAAACCTCAGGCCTCCTGTCCCTGCTGTAGGCCCAACTCACCAGGAACCAACTGCTGATCAAAGACCTCCATGAGGAGAACAGGGGGTTTGCAATGGCCCTGCAGGAGGCTGAGCTGAAGCAGAAGAGCACCGAGGAGAAGAACCAGCTGCTGGAGGAGCAAGCCTCGGCTCTGAAGCAGCTCATTGGAAAAATCACGCCAGCATCTCTGAGTGTGTGACAGGGCACTTGCTGTGGCAGCCCTGCTCCTGATCCTGGGCAGGGTTTGTCAGCTGTGGTTCAAGAACAAATTGGATAAATTGGCTGTGAGCCAAAACTCAGCCACTGCCTTTAAGTCCTGGCCCTGAGACAGTGCCAGAAGATGTCTGGAGGCTGTGACAGAGGAGGCCTCCTTGGTCTGGACATGCTTTTTCTGCCCCGGTGAATGACGAGACTTCTCTTTCTTTGCTTTGCCTTGGGGGCAGCCCCGACTACAAGGGCCATGGGGGAAGCTGAGCTATTACAAGGAGGGAATCCCCACAGAGGGCATGGGCTAGCTCAGGGAGATTCCTTGGCAGGGGCTGGGAGAGCGATGCAGTAACATCCCAGGCATTTATCCTGTTCTTGAGGTCTTCCCTAAGTATTTGCTCTGTGGCTCCAGTCAAGAGATGGGGGTAGGTGAACCTCTAGTCTTATCCAGGGCTGACGTTTTTTGAAGTGTTACCTCTCAGACATCACTTAAGAATGAGCC